ATGAGTACTATCCATATGGGGAAATGGTTTTTGGAGTTTTTGCATGAGCTTTCATGTGGATATAAATCAGTAATATCCCTGGTTTGTGTATAACCACATTGTAGGTTTAGCTTGCAGCAGACAACTACAGCTGACATTTGAAACAACAATGGTACAATACTTTTAAATCTGCAGTGCAATTCATTACCACTGCTTTCTTTCACCTGTGGGGGTTACCACTTTTCCTTAGCTTTTCTTGCTAGCATAATAATTAGTTATGTTAGTATTGCCAATGAAAAGCATTTAAAAAAAAAAAAAAGAGACTTCAGGCACTATAAGCCTGGCTTATTAAAAAAAAAAAGTGATAAAACACATATTTTTATTTGTCTTCTAAGATGAGGCCGGGGGGGGGAAGGAGGGTTTACCTATAGATTGACCCTGGGGCAGCTATCCAAATTCCTCTCACAGAGGAAGACATCTAGAGGTTACTCCATGTTTCCACCTGACCAGCGTGATTCTCACATAATCATTTGACTCAGGAACAACAACATCAACAATACCACCAAGACTTGCAGTAGTTACATGAGCATTACATTCAGTATTTATGTATTGGAAAGCAAGTAATCAGTTTTAGATGAATCACAGCTGGCCTGAAAATGGCTTTCCCCAGAGAAAACAATACAACTTCTGTCTTTGAACTTCTTAATATTCTTTCTGCAGATAGAGTAACATCTGTAAAGCACACAAAGAAGGTAGGTGAATAAAGGTGGGAAGCCAGGTGGTCTCTTTGGCATCTAAAAGGAGGAAGGGGCCCACATAATCCTGATCTGTCCATAACACATCTGTATTTAGGAACACATGCTAAGGATATTTGAAAGTCCCTGCCATAGAAGACAGACTCTAATCTTAAACAAGTAGTAGAAATAGGTGATCTGTAGGAAGAGGCAAAGACTGCAAAATAGGGATAGCTGGCTCAAGCCCACATGAATATATTTAAAATACTAATCACATAATGACAGACTGTGATATTGAATCACCACAAAATAGACATAGTTAATGTAGAGAAAAATGTTTGGCAAAGGTGCTAGCTGTGCACATTTCAGGTGGAAACAAGAACCCTGCCAATTGCTACAGTAATTAAAACAGACAAGTCTTCCATACAGATCAGTAAGAGAGTTCAAGTGTTTAGTGACACCTGATTTTCTCAAGTACAGAAAAGCTCTTAGGGACGATATTTCTAAACATATTTAGAAATCTAACTCCTACTGATAATGGCGTGAAATGGAAACGTTAAAATATGGCAGTTCACCTCCAAACTTTTCTCTGCTATTAAACTAAAGTCACAGGCTTTTAGAGGCAGAAATCATGGTAATTTATTTAACCTTCATGGAAGAGAACAGCACTGCTAATACAGCCCTAACAACAGTTTGATCTCCATACAACAAAAAGTCTGTCACTGCAATCTAAAATTTTGTGGTGTTTTGTTTGTTGCTGTTTTTTTTAATTAAATGCTTGATCCCTATGTGTTAAAAAAAAAAAAATTAAAAGTCAATTAACATAATTCTTGCTGATAACTAGGATTTCACAAATGCTAAGCTCTGTTATTGATGTAGCTGTATCAGAGTACAATTCTACAATCTGACTACATCTTACATGTGTTTCTTCCCTCCTGCCTTTGCATTTAAGAAATCAAATCAGATGCTGCAAAATAGTCCCTGTGGGACAAGTATGAATATTTGATTTAGACTAGAGAGCAGTTATTCACATAATTAGTTACCCTGAAAATCAATAGTCAGAATTTCAGAAAAATAAGAACTGCCAGATTGGATGAGGACACACTCCTGTCCTCTTTCTGAAGGTGGGCAGATGCTACAGAGGAAAATGCAAAAAGCCCTGAAGAAGCAGCCCCCTCCCAGACTAAAAGGGCCTAATTTGAATTCTGAATAATGAAGTTTAATATCCTCTCCAGTGTTTTTCCCATCTTACAATTCTAGATCTTGCCAGCACTATGAATTACAAGCCCTTGAATTCTTGATCTCAAGAACAAACTATGCGTTTTCTTAAAAAATATTTCCTTTTCTATCAGTTTTTAATTGATGTGGCTTTTCAGCTTCATTGACTGTCCACCATAAGAGACTGTTTGTCTCTTATGACACAATAAGAAGAAAAAATATCCATCTGCCTGAGCAATATGTGCCAATACTTTCCATACTTTTGTTTCAACCTCTTTAAAGTAAACAGCCAAAACTCTTGAGACTCTTTATAGATTGTCTGTACTCTTTCTCCCTACTCATTTCAGAGCCTTCTGTAATCTTTTCTGAGAGACGATAACGAATATTTCACTAGGCTGTACCACTAAATTCTCTGAAGGCATCATAATACAGGAGTACGTTGCCTTACTCCAGTTCCTAAAATCTGGTTCGCAAGTGCAGTCAAACATCAGAGGTCTTCCCTGAGCTGTGTACAGTCTCAAACCATTCCCTCTCACTAGCTGATGTAATGATGTGAAATTTTGAAGGTAATTTTAGCATTTTCAGGAAACATGAGGCTTTTATTTGTGATAACTGACTGTCATTTGTTGACATTTGGGCTATTCACCTGGCTAGGTCAGGTCTCCCTAGAGTAATGACAAGTCCTGTCTCATTCTGTCCAATCCCATATCAGTTTGTGTCTTCAGCAGATTTTCACTTCTTCCTCCCCTCTTTCCATCTAATGTGTAAGTATATTAAATACTGCAGCTGACATAAAACCTTGAGGTATTCCAGTATGTTTTAAATGGCCAGTTTTTTACCACAACAGAACTAGACTCCAGCCAATTTTTGGGGTCATGGCAACACTACCTGTGATTACCTCTCTACTTTCTCTCATGGAATTTTGTTAAAAAGACTAGCAAAAGCTTTCTGAATGTCTCAAACAATTTTATACATATATACATATATATATATATATATATATATATATAAACAGTCTAAATTAAGTATGAGACAAATACACTCCAGTGTGAAAAAAAGCAGATCTGGCCCTACAGGTGATTTAGTCACAATAAAAAGAATGTCACTGAGAGATCAAATCTAGACCACACTAGATTACAGATTTACTTTCCAGAAAACAAGTCCATTATTAATGCACTCCGTAATTATCATGCCAACAGCATCTAAATCTAAATATGCAGGCACAATAAGATGACAAAAATTACCCACGATGGAATTTGAACTCACTAAATATCATTTGTTCACAGTACTTGGGCCAATTAAACCTTCTAACTGGAAAGTCACAAGGCAAATCCATATCCCAAAACTGGGCATAAGCCCACCCTGAAAGACCATTCAAAGAGGTTTCAAAGTAGCTCTGACAAAGCTAGCTTCCTGTTTTTGATGATCTACACCATTTACATGCAGTCAACTGTTCAACAGATGGCAGTTCAGCACAGATCTTCTTCAGCCATGCCATATAATATCAGCTAGAGAGATGGGTCTTTTCTTCTGCATGTTCTTCTACATTCCTAGCAATACAGATCTTAAATTGGCAGTGACTTCACATAACCTATTATTTTTAGACATTCATTTATGAAACTCACCACCATTACACCTCAAGTATGTAATTTTGTTATTCAGAACAAGTTACAAGAGAAAATATAACTAGAATAGCAGGCTTAGGCTTTCAATTAACTTTTTCAGACAGAGCTATAAATTTCAACAAATAGGTTATAATTGAGAAGCCAGCATGACCTTTATTACTTCAGAAGGTTCAGACATAGCAGCTCACTGAGACTTCAGCTGGACTATTAGTCACTCTGTCAGATAGAAGCACTAACATCCAACTCAGTCTGGCACCAGCATATGATCTGATCCTGAAAACTGACCTGAATAAGCTCTACTCTCAGGAATGGTCCCAGTCCAGGCAATGGAATTGCTCTTAGAGAAATCCCATACTCCCTGTGAGTAAAGTAGCAAACATCAGATACTTCTGTCATAAGCACAATCAAGAAAAATAAAAGGCTTTTACAGAAGTCCTAAAATGTATATCAGTAAAGTCCTATAATCAGGCAATCAGGATCTCTTCCTCTGAAAAAATGAACTAGAACTGTGCACCATGCACCAGGTATACTTCTCTTCCACGATTAAGCACATTGCCAAACAGATAATCCACGAGTAAACATTTCAGAGTGTTTACATGTAATACTGAGGAAAGTGCAACGTGAAAACAATCACTTTGCCAGAGACAGTCTTCCCAGCAGAGCAATGGTTTCTCTTGCAGCAGAATCCTTTCTACAACAATATCCCTGTGATGTTATGAACGACCAAAATATCTTTATGACTTCAGTTAATGGGTAAGTTACTCTTAGAACTTGTTAATATATGCAGTTGCCATCACGGTGATGAAAGATGGACAAGAAATAGGATGTGTTACATGCAAAAATACTAGGTGATATATTACAACCACTCAAGGTATCACTTTCTTTGTAAATGTACATGGAGGAATACAACTAGGTCTCTCTTCATATTGACATCAGCATGTTTCTTCCTCAACTGCAGGCATATGGAAGAACCAGTTCCATTTGACATATGAAGAGGCATAACATTCAGGTCAAGCGCTGTGAAAATCTGACAGACTCCCAGAACAACGGAAAGACGCACTGATAACGCGTTACTTGTGAAAACGGCGTGTGCGTGAGTGCACTGGGGCTTCTACGCAGCCGTCAAAAACACAGCGTCACGAAGTGTGTCTGCAACATTAAGACAAATATTTGACCTATTTTCTTAATGGAATGGGACTGTCGTGATTACTGCGCGACGCTCCTACGAGCCAGCAGCTGCCTAAGGACCAGTGCAACACGGGCACGGCACGCTTTGCAGAGAGCGGGAGCGTTCCACGGGGCGAGTTGTTCCCACGAGTAAAGCGACTAGAACCCCGCGCCCACACTTACCGGCCTCTCGGGGTCGCGGGTCCCCCCACGCAAAGCCCCGGTGCCCGTCCCCCGCCTCGCAGCCCCCCCAGCCCCGGTCGCGCCGGCGACTCACGTTTGTAGCTGGCGGCCCAGGGCTGGTAGCCGTAGTAGCCGGTGATGCGGAGGATCCGCTCCTCGATGGAGGTGAGCCCCACGGAAGCGCTGGTGAGGTCCTCCACGGAGCGGGACCACTTCAAGTCCTCTTTGATGGCCTCGTCCACCACCAGGTACTTCAGCTGCCGCAGCTGCGGGCTGATGTCGGACAGCCGCCGCGGGCTGACATCGGGGGAGCGCCGCATGCCGCTGGGGGCCGGGAGAGGGG